CAGACTAACTAAAGATGAAAAAGTGAAAAAGCATAATAGGACCCCATTAAAACTGTTTCAGCTTCCTCAGAGTTGTTGTATCCTCAGCTCCACAGATGAAGGACTCACTCCACTGCATCTGGCCGCTGCTGAAGGTCTGACAGACTGTACAGAGACGCTAGTGAGAAATGGGGCAGACATACACGCTCAAGACAAGAGGGGTCACACACCCCTCGACCTCTCTAGGATCTGGGGCCACAGGCTCACTGCCAGGTATCGGTGTCAGGTGCTATTGATTTAGATTCATTTACATCACATTGCATATGGGCAAAAGCTGATGGCATGAAGTCAGATACGCAAATGAACATAAATGTGTTTGTGCAACAGGTTTCTGAAAGATGCCATGTGGTGGAAAGACAAACAGCAGGGGATCAAGAAAAGCAAACAGCTACATGATCTCAGGCAGGTCCAGTGTTGCAGTGTGCTGGATCTGCCTCACTTGGGTCGCTCCCTAAAACCAGATGCCTCGCCCTGGACTGAGGTGGCCATGCACCTGGCCGAGGAGCTGAAGCCAGGACACTATTAGACACATTACACAATTAGAAAAAAAGGTACAAAAACTGTCACTGGGGTGGTATCTTTAACAAAGGGCACTAAAATGTACTTTTAATATACTAATATGCACTCTTTAGGGGTGAATAAGGTACAAAGTTGTACCCTTTTCAAAGGTACCGCCCCAGTGACAACTTTTGTACCTTATTTTTTCAGAGAGTATATCATCTATAGACACCAAAGTCATGTTCTCAATAGTTTCCAACCTTCAGATTGACAGCAGGTCTGGACTCCATCGCAGCTTTCATTGGCTAAGAACCGCCCAAGAGGTGTCTGATTGGCATGTAAAGCAACCAATCATGTTTAGGGGCATGAAAAAGTAAATTGTAAAATCTCTGTCCCTACAATAACAGACTGGTGTGCAACCAGTAAATTATATAAGAAATTAAAACTTTTAGTTGCAGTAAAGACATTTTTAATGTTGCCAAAGATTTCTGTTTCAAATGAATGCTGATCTT